AGATTTGTTCAATCAACGGCAGTAGATTTGTTAAAAAAATTTATCGCACTGTTGGGTGCGTTTAGAAAGTGAAAGTTTTTTTCTTGTCTCCATAAATAATATTCCCAGTATAGGTATTTCATTAAAAAATGTATCTTCGGATATAAACACGTATAGGTAGTTACTTAATTTTTTTAAATAGTTACAGTTATACTTACTGGATTGGGATAAATAACTAAACTGTGCACCACTCAATGTGTCGCGACCAAAAAGTTTGTCCTTTTTCAACACGACATAACTTTTTTTTTTCTTAAACGATTTTATTTTGGTCTGTGATGTCTGCTAGCCCCATCCTCTGGCAGTTCATGCTATAGATATGAACGGTTCTTCAAGTAAATTTCGTACAGGGTGATATGTAAAACGGTGAAAAATTTCAATATCTTCATCCAAGCCTCGTTTGAAAGAAGAAATATTTTGTTTCGTTTTTACTTTAAAATAATGAAGTATTATGTCTTAACTTGAAATGGTTTTCAAATTTTTCGAATTGAAATCTTAGCAACGAAAATATGATTTTTTTTCCAAAATAATACATTTAAGGGTATTAATCGTATTTTATTGAGACATTTAACAGCCGGGAATTGTTTTCGAATCTTGATTCTTGGTGATTTTGGTTCTATCTGAAACTTAAATTTGACAACTGAATCACAATTAGGAGGTCAAAATTATGAAGAAAACATGTCACGAACGTAAATATCGGTTTAGGTTCAGTTTTCTCAAATTTTCACCAAAATGTTATTTTGAAAAAGTGGTATTTGCTTAGGCCCTCTGAAAATAATGGAAGTTTGTTGCTTGTCGCTTGTTCAGAATTATTTAAGGAACTTTATTTCACCATCTTATCTTCTTGTTCCTAAAAATAATGAGTGTATTGCCTACAAAAAAGACTTAAAAAAAATCATATTTTCGTTGTTAAGATTCGAATTCCAAAAATTTTAAAAACGCTACAAGGTAAGACATAATACTTCATTATTTCAAATTAAAAACGAGAAAAAAATTATATTTTTACAAACGGGGCTTGGATGAAGTTATTAAAATTTTTCACCGTTTAACATATCACCCTGTAGAAAATTTTCTTAAAGATCGTGAGCTTCATATCTATAGCATGAATTGCCAAAGGATGAGGCTAGCAGACAACACAGACCAAAATAAAACAGTTCAAGAAACAAAAAAGTTATGTCGTTTTGAAAAAGAACGAACTTTTTGGTCGCGATCCATTCAGTGGTGCGCAGTTTAGTTTACTTAAATAAAAATTAGTTTTTTTATACAACCTTATGGGAGGGGCGAACTGTCTTTCAATAATCAATATCGAACACTAATATTTTGTTACTACTTATAATAAAGACGTTAATTATAATGGTAAAAAGTATTCTTATTTATTACACTAAAATGGGTTGGTTTTTATTTATATACTTAAAGGCCATTTCAAGCGCGCGAAACGCACGAATTAGAAAACTGTTTTTATGCCAAAAATTTATTACATAATTTTTGCCATCAAAATTGTCAAAAATATTCTTCTTTTCTTAGGCTATACATTAAATAAATAAAAACGCAAAAAGTATTTTATAAAAGTAGAGATAATTTTAATAATTGAAAGGTGTGGTATTTTTTTTATAAAAACAGTTTTATAATTTGTCCCGTCCGTATACGGACATATATGCTTGAAATTAATTCATAAATTGTAGATTAAAATTACTTTAGTACTTTATGTTAAGAATTAAGCTTCTTTTAAAGAATGTTGATTATAATGTTTAAAAATATAAAGGTTATAACGGGTTATTTGATTTTTTTTAGTTTATATATTAATTGGCTGAATATTAACAAAAGCTTGCAAAAATGGCGAATGCGCCGGGATATTTAATAAAATTCTTTTGCATTTGCGATATTGAGAAACCTTTTGGGTTTTTTTATTCATGATTATAAAATATACCAGTATAATAAAAAATATTGGCAATACAATATTTTTATCGTCGTCAAACTAAACATTTTAGAATTGGATATAAAAGAAATTAATAAATATTATTTTAGAAATAGGTAATTTGGTCATTGTAATACTATGCTCCAAATCAAAAAGTCCCACCTTGACATTTGAAAAGAAATATTGAGGTTATCTATGTATCAGTTTAACGCAAATTTTCACATATTTTCTAAAAATAATACAATATATATAATATATGTCGGCGCCCTTATTAATTAGTGGTCTTCGCTCATGATTATTTTTTACATTTTATTTTAGTTGAAAAGATTTGTGTAATGATTTTTATGCTAAAAAAGTCCTATACATGGGGAGAATGTCATTATCTTTGTATTAGGTGTTTATCACTAAGTCTAACGCTAATACGATACGTTTATTTTAGTTGATATAATTTATGTAAAGTTGTCTAGACAAAATAGTTGTAGTTTTTTAAAACGAATAAAATGTGTTAGGAGGTTTAAAAAGTCTTTATAGGAACCGTTGGTTGGCGAACGAAACGCACCCGGCAGACAGATTTTGAGTTGTTGCGAGATAAGTTGAATCTCTGAATTGATTTTTGATTGGCTATTGTTGGTCAAGTCACTAGTGGGTGGCGGATCGTTGGTTTTCTTTTTAGTAGCTAATAATTATGACAATTATTATTAATTTGTGTTCTGTATCTGCGGATTTATCTGACTACGTGCTTAATTTAAAACCAATGTGGTGCATTATTTTAAAATGTACAAGCAGTCTACCCCAAGTTCGCCCTCATTAATCTCCTACATATATATCATAATATTTTTGGAAATATATGACGAAATAATATATATATATTAAGATTATCTATCTGCTAGTTTAACGCTTATTTCGTCATATATTTTCAAAAATATTATGTTATATATGTAGGATATACGAGGGTGGTTCAAATATAAACCGGAATTTTTTAATAAACGGCGCTAAAAATTTAGTATCGTAAAAGTGGCTTCACTGGATGTTAGACTGGTCTGTTACGAAGCGTAGAGAACAGCCGGGACTGCGTAACCTCGCTTTTCAGTGTAGTTATAGCCATGAGCGAGAAGGATGTACCAGTGTCTGTTGCGCAACGCATCATTATTCGTATTTTGGTCAAAGATAATGTAAAATCCGCGGAAATTTATCAAAAATTACTCGAGCAGTTCGGGGATGAGTGCCTCTCCAAGACTCAAGTGTATAAATGGTGTTCCGCTTTGCGAAAAGGCCGAGAAGTGGTGGCAAACTTGCCATATGCGCGGCGCCCCAAAACAAGTGTTACAGATGAGAACGTCAGCGCTGTAGAAAAACTCATTTTGGAAGACCGAGGCAGTACTGTACGCGATATGGCTGAAGAATTGGGCATCAGCGTAGTTAGTATTGAGCAAATAATTCATAAACGGCTCGGTTACCGCAAAATTTCAGCCAGATGGGTGCCAAGACTTCTGAATTTTGATCAGAAATTCACACGCTGGGAAGTTTGATGAAAACATTGAACGAATTGGGTTGGAAAACACTGGAACACCCTTCTTATAGTCCAGATTTGTCGCCATGCGACTAGTATTTGTTTGGTCCATTGAAAGAGGCACTTGGCGGACTGCGATTCGAAAGCAATGCGGAGGTAGAATACTTCGTGCGCGAATGGTTACGTGACAAGCCGAGAGATTTTTACGAACAAGGCATCCGAAAGCTTCCGGAGAGGTGGCAAAAGTGTGTAGAGTGTGACGAAGACAATCTAGAAAAATTGTAAAAAATTTCAGCTCTGTAACTTAATAATAAAAAAATTTATAGCAAAATTCCGGTTTATATTTGAACCACCCTCGTATATATATATATACACTTCGCGTCAAATTTAACGGACCACTAAAAAATTGCCACAATTTTAAAGTTGATTTTCTCGTGAACCGTCAAACCGAATTTGGTAGTTTTTGTTTTAAATTGTTGGTTTATTCTTTGGTTATGATGCCTTTATTAAAATATTTTTTCAAATTTGCGTTTTGAGTATATACAGGGTGCAAGAGTAATAATAAGTTTTTTCCTGTAAATTTGAAACGCCCTGTGGGTTGTACCAACTATAACAGCATATGTCTCTTACAATCAAACCCATCTTCTCTTAACATTTTGTTTTTTAATTCACCGCGTTATCTTTATTGTTTAAAGAAATATAAAGTTAAATATTAAAGAACTCCAGTTTAATAAAAAAAATTAAAAATAACGATTGTAACAATAACATTAAAAATATAAACAAAATTAATAAAACTAACATTAAAGAATATCAATATCGCGTATTTTCGCCTCTACTTCTAATAACGGCTTCACATCGACAGTCATACTCAAAACCAGATGTCTAATCTCGCCTTGATCAATGACATTTCATATTTATCGTAGCATATTTTCTACGTCATCAAGGGAGGCAGGCAAGGGATCATGATTTCTTAGTCGTTAGGGGTTGAGATCCGGACTATTTGCAGGCCAGTTTAAAGTTTCAACACCCACCTTATGTAAGTACTCTTGCACTATATGGGCGGTGTGAGGTCTTGCGTTATCCTGCATCAGTCAAAAATTATTACCGATGTACGGGGCGAAAGGGACAACATGCTCAGATAAAATTTCCTCCACGAACAATGACGAGTTCTGTACGAGCTGTCAAGAAAATTCCTCCCCAAACCATTACAGAAATAGCGTGGTTTCACGAATGTTACACTGTGAAAATCTCTCATTTGGACGTCCGAGAACCCTTACTGAATAAACAAAACCTGGTTCGTCTGTTAATAGTACACGCTGCCAATCCTCAATATTCCAGCCAACATGTTGTCTGGCAAATTGCAGTCTTGCTCTACGATGATTTGCATTAACTTTCGATCCTGTTGCTGGAATTCTGAAGCTCAAATTCTGTTCCGCAAGACGTCTTCTTACGGTGGACACACTTGTTTGAAAATTATGAGTAGCATTAAGTTGTACCTGTAGATTGTTTTCTCAAAGCATGCAAATAAAGGAAACGATCATGTACGGCTATTGTCATTCGATGCCTTCCCTGCCCATCACGTCTGTTATGATCGTTGATTTTTTCAAAACGTCCAATCACGGGATATTGAGGTATGATTAACTCCCAATCCCCGAGCTATGGCACGGTAGCTTTATCCTTGCTAATTCTTACATAATATTATTCATCACGATTCAAATTTCTCACTTGGCGCTCCATTACAATATCTTTAGGCAGAAACTTAAATGAAAATGACAGTTTCTGACCTACCATGACCTACCTATGTTAGGTTCTTTCATTTTACATTAAACTGAAGTTATTTCGTCTTTAACCGTATATCTCATTTGAAAAATAGATAGCGACGTACAACCCACAGGGTGTTTCAAATTTCCGGGAAAAAACTTATTATCACTCATGCACCCTGTATATACTCAAAATGTAAATTTAAAAAAATATTTCAATAAGCGTATTATTACCGAAGAATTAACCTACAGTTTAATAAAAAAATCACGAAATTCGGTTTGAAATTTTTAGTGGTGCGTTAAATTTGACGCAAAGTGTATATATATATATAGGGGGGGGATATTATAATTCGTACGTAATATAAAAAAATTACAAAATAATGAAAATGTTTTATTATTTGGGTTTTTTTAAACCATTATAGTTTTCTGTTAACTGTTTTCGAATCAAGAATTAACAACCATTGGCATGATATATAGCAAAGCTAGCAAAAATGGGGGACATTCATTCAACTATACCTCCGCGACCATGGCTCATTTAAACCCCAGAATGCTGTTGCAGCTCGACGAGGTACCAGTACTTATAGACTTGCACTTTAGCATGGTGTCTCACATTCTACAATATGAAGGATTTTAATAAGATTTCCAATAATGCAGCAGTTATGTCCCTAGGGATATAACTGGGTATACCATTTGCATCGCGTTCAGTTTTTGCACCCAGTTATTATGCTTGAAACGGATGAATAAAAAATAACACAACCAATTTTTTGGTTTAGTGACTAAAACCCGTTGAAGCAGGTTTTACTAGAGATGGGATTTTTAAAGTTTATGTTATACATGTATAATAATAATAATAATAATAATAATAATAATAATAATATGACTTTATTGCAAGTAAATAATAAACATTTACATATAGTAAAAAAATACATTTAAATGCAAAAGGCGAAGTTCAGTATGTCACCTACTGGTGAACTACTGCTCTTCCACTTAACCTGTATATTCAGGATAAAAATATATACATAAAAAAATACGAATACATAAAAAAGAAAAATAAACATTAATATTGGTTAAAAATTAGCAATACATTAACAAGGAAATTATTCAAAGCTAATAATTATAATAATAATTAGAGAACAAACTAGCATAAAAAACACAAACAGACTTGAACAAAATAAGAAACAAAACCAGAAACTAGCATAAAATACAGAAACATTTGCAACATTAAATTATAATCATATTATTAAATAATAGGGAACGTAATTTATGTTTAAAACAGATAATAATTATTAAATAATAGGGAACGTAATTTATGTTTAAAACAGATAAAAATTATTGACTTGGACTTTAGTTCATTGGGGATAAGGTTGTAGTACTTATATATATTGAATGTAAAAGATCTTTCAAACATTGTATATTTGTGAAGCGGAGGAGTTATAGTGTTTTTATGTCTAACATTTATGTTATGAATATCTGTCCTAAAGCTTATTTTGTCGTGCAGATACGAGGGACATTTATATTTTATTATTTTATAATATAAAGTTAAAGAATTTAGGATTCTGCGTTCCTTCATGTTTAGCCAATTTAATTCTCGCAATTTATTACCAACACCAGTTTGGCGTCTTTTAAGTCCACTTATAAATCTGACACAAGAGTTCTGTATTCTCTGAATTCTTTGAGAATCTAAATTTGTCAGGCATGGGCCATATACCGAATCTGCATAACTAAATACAGATAAAACAAGCAAATCGCAAAGTTGTTTTCTGCAATTTCGGTTAAGAATATCCTTGTTTGCATATAACATTTTTAAATTGGCAATAGCCCGACTTACTAATTTTGAAACATGATTGTTAAATCTTAAGTTTGAGTCCAGATGTACTCCTAGGTTTTTTGAGACTTCTATACAATCTAAATTCAAATTATTAATAACTATGTTAATATTTGGTTTATAACGTTCACAGTCCAGCTTCTTACCACATAACATAACATTTGACTTAGACACATTCAATGTTAGACCATGATTTGTAGACGCATTTACTATCTCACTCAGGTCGTTATTTATTAAAGCCTCCGCAAGTTTTAAATCTTTAGGGAAAAAGGAAAGGTAAAGCTGTGTATCGTCTGCATAAAAGTGGGACTTACAATTCTGGATATATGTATGCAATTGAGACGTATAAATTATAAAAAGCAAGGGGCCAAGGATAGACCCTTGAGGAACTCCACAATCTATATTAAGAGAGGAAGAAAGAGAGTTGTCAAGCTTTACAGATTGTGTTCTAGATGTAAGATAGTTTTTTATTAATTGTATGCTTTGATCACAAAAACCGACATATTTTAAGATAGATAATAATAAGTTGTGATCTATACGATCAAATGCCTTAGAGTAATCAAGCAAGACAAGAGCAGTTAATTTATTTTCATCCGCCGCCCGTAAAATATCATCAGTTACCTTCAGCAGTGCTGTGGTGCAACTGTATTGTTTTCTAAAACCTGACTGATTAGTTGGTAAAATGTTAAATGTATCCATATATTTCCTAATTTGTTTATTTAAAATTTTTTCGCACAACTTGGATAAAGTGTTTAAGATACTAATCGGTCTAAGATTTTTGTAATCGTCTGCAATTTTTACTTTGGGTATTGGTATAACAAAGGCCGATTTCCATTGATTGGGAAAAACAGAGTTTTCAATAATAAAATTAATAATATGAGTTAGTATAGGGATTATGTGAGGTGAACAATACTGTAGCATTTCTATACCTATGCCATCATTGCCTATAGCTTTTGATTTTATAGAGTTTAACGTTTTATGAACTTCCTCTTCCGTTGCTAACAGAAATTTAAAAATACCTGCATTGGGCAAAATATTATTTTTATAAAAATTAATAGTATTGTCATCTGGTGCTTGTACAGATTTTGCTGAATTTACAAAATACTCATTAATTTTATTGGCATCCGTAAGAACTGTGATATTTTTAGCTTTAGTTGCGATGTTAAGTTTATTTAGTTTTTTCCATATGTCAAATTTGTTATTATTGTTTACAAAACTTCCAAGGTATGCTCTTTTTTCATTATTTAGGCTTTGATTTGTAAAATTTCTTAACTGCTTGTAATACGACCAATGGTCTCATAAAAACCCGCATGCTATAAAAATACAAAATTTTTAACAATAACCGTTTGGGCAGGAATTTTAAATGGACAACAAATTGGACCTTCCGATGTACCACCTCGTCCGAACGCAGATCAATATTTAAATTCCTTAAAGGCCATCCTTTTTTATTTGCTGGAGGACGTACCTTTGGTAACTCTAGCAAATCCATGGTATTCGCGTCCCGTTTGCTGTATTATGTATACGTTTTGGAGAAAAAAAAAACAGTAATAATTGATGCGCTGAACTGTACACTTATTTTCAATTTAAAATAAAAATTAATGTGTAAAATATTGATCACTACAGTTTCTGACTACTCATTGATGTCACAAAACTAAATATTGTTACCCTAGAACACAAATTGTAAATTATAAAGTATAAAAATTTGAAACTCAAATGTTGCAGCCTAAAATTCAAGATTTCGTATATTTTGTTATAAATTTTATAGGAAAAGTTTACCTTAGCTCGAATTTTAGTTTGCCTACCTAGGGTAGCAAAATTACAAATAAAAATGTTATTCACCTTTTGAGTTCTTTCAATTGTTAAAATTAACACACTTATTTTTGATGAATTATATTTTAATCTTGAAATTAATACAGATTTTTACTTTTGATATTAAAAGTTTTGACAAAAATTCTTACGTCTGATTTTGCTTATGCCTGTGTTGGGGGTCTAAAATCATTAAAAGTTTGCTTACGTAATACGTAATACGCCCCCATAAAGGTCTTATTTAAAACATAAAAAATACATACCTACATATATTATTTTTAGAAAATTAGACAAAATTAATGTTAAACTGACAGATAGATAACCTTAATTAATTATACTCAAATCTCAAAGTGGGTGCTAGTACTTTATAAACATTTAGATATTTATGTAGAAAGTACATCGAATCTCGCAAAATATTTTTATTTGTAATAACCTTTTTTGTATAATCCCAAGTATGAAATAAACTTATTTTAACATGGGTAAGTCCAAAAATAAAATATAAACAATGATTTTACAAAAAAAGATAATCAAATAATGTCAAATAAGTTTGTAGTTATCTTTTAATTTAATACTCCTTTTTTTTGCAAAAGTATGTCAGTATACTTAATATAAAAATCAATACAATAGCGATAAATCGCTAAAATATTATAGACTATATTATTCTACTTTTAGTAACATTTTTGTTTACTATTTTAAGTTTAAACTTAAAGAATTCTATATTTATAAATATCATTCTTATACAATACAAATACAAATCAGCTTGACTTACAGTATGTTGCTGTGGTAAGGCGATCTATAGTATCCTGCTTTAGTTTTGAGTTTCTCTTCCCCATTTTTCTTTTAAGTAAATAATTTCGTTTATATAATATCACTGGCACGCACTGCAAGGATCGCACAACACTAAGGGGTTGAACTAAAAGTTCTTATGCTTCTTACCAAATCCATGCGCTTGCGCGACAGTCTAAATACAATTTTTATTCATACATATATTTATGTCAATTAATAAATACCCTGTAAGGCGTAATTAAGTAACCACGCGTTATTTTAAGCTCATTTTTAAAATAATATTGATTTTTTTTATATGTAAACCTGGGATTTGATTTATCCTTTTTGGAATACCACAAATTAAATATGTAGATCATTACCTTAGAAAACTAATTAAAATAAAATAATTAAAATAGGTTTCAATGTTTACACCATAAAAAAGGTTAAATAATTTTTAAAATGTATCTAAACAAAATTTGAAAATTTGGTTAAAATAAAGTTAAATATACATTTTTGGAGATTGGAGAATAAATATTTTTGTCTTGATTTTGTAAAATTTGGGAAGTTTTGGATAGCCTTAAAAAACTGTTATACATAAAAAAAACAAAAATAAACCTGTCTTGCAGTATACAGACGCTATACTTGCAGTATTAATTATACGTGTTTAGGAGTTTTTTAGTTTGCTGTCGTGCTACGTGTTCCTTTTCCAATTAAATACTATAAATTTAATTTTTTATCAAGGTTAGCTGAAACTTTATTTATTTTTATTATTTTATAATTTAACATAATATAATATTATGTTATCACAAAGTCATATTTTTGATATTAAAGAATATTTACATATATGGTTAAGTTATAAATAACATATAATCATGATGATGGGGTAACTCGGGTAAAGTAAGAAAAGATTAAGGTTAAGTAAGGAAATAATAAGTAATAATAACAATTTATTTAAATGTATAACAATTAATTAGATATAAATTTAACAATGTATTAATACTTACCCAGGTCAAAACTTCGCCTGAAATTACCCTTTCGCCTTGGGAAAAGTTTTGCCAATAAATGTGCAATATAAGACATTATTTCTACGATTCTTGTGCAATCGCGATGGCCAATAATAAACGATTAAATCGTGTCCAATAAAATGCAAAACAGTTTTTATAGGTTACCGTTGGTATAATTTTGGGAATGTTTGGGCATGAAAAAACGATGACACATTATTGACGGTAATTTGGGCAAATATTTATTGGCAAATATCTGAACAAACTTTAAATATTTACAAATATAAATTATACAATATGGACGAATATTACTAGAAAAAAAGTAACATTGACATCTAGTAATCAACTTTTGTATTTAATTTAATTCTTATAAATTGTTTTGTTTAGTAGGTTCTCAAAATTTAAAAGTAATACTTAACGGGCATTTAGAAACTGCATGAATTATTTATTTTTTATAACTTACTCAAGAGTAGGTTTTTTACGCCTTTTTGCACATAAGCGCAGCTGCTAGACCAGCCTTACTCAAACTTTTGTTTTCTTGGGCCAAATATTTATGACTCAGGCGGGCCACAACGACCTATATTACAATAAAACTCTTGATAGTTGAAATTGTGGACAACTTTTGACAATTTTAGTTAAATCCGGCTACATGCTACTCTAACCACGTAGTCAAGGTGTGAATCAGTTAGCCGACATCAAACACATTGCATATGTGACGCGATCCGAAAAAACAAACCTATCATCCAAAAATCAAATTTTACAAAACGGCTATTCTAAAAAAATCGAAACCAAGCAAGTCAAGTCCGAACTATTAAGAAAAAATAAATGAAAGAAATCATTTAAAAGAGTGTCCATTTAAGTTTAGAAAATCTCTTAAAAGAAGCGGGATTTATTAGTTTGTCATACTTTTTATAAGGATTTAACATAACTCTTTATGCACCATCCTGCATAGCGCATTATTAAGTATGTTGGCAGACCCCGTTTCTGTCAATAGTGACAGATAGGTTTTATAAAGCCTATAGGCGTGTTTAAGTTAAATTAGTGTATAGCATAATCGTTTTTACCTTGCACTGTTTTTTTTGATAGGTAAGTTGTTAATACTTGCTGTGAGCATTTAAAAAATTGCAATCTTAACGTCCTCTCCGTTATCAAAAAGGAACAAATGTTCTTATACAGGGAATACAATTTTTTTCCTGGCAATAATTCTTCTTGTACAAAGCTAACCTAAACTAATTATCATAATGGTATTTTTTTGGATTTTCAAAACTATAGAAAATAGTAGAAACAGAGTAAATTACACTACATTATAACCATAGTGATATAGGTTCCATATTGCTTTTTATATCAAATCAAAATCAAATAAAACATATAGACACTTTAATTTTATAGTTAAACAATCGTTCCCAAACCAAAAGTATCCTTATGGACGAATACCGACAAAAAATACGAAAAAAAGTAAAATATGACAGAGGAAGAGACAGAGGAAATTAAAAAAAATACAGGCTAGCAAAAAGAAAGCAAAGGTTAATTTATAACCCCAGAAAATAACACAAAAATTAACAAATAAAGAGTATTAAGTATGTATTTTTTACAGGGAAAAAAAGAAGTTTAAAAATCAGAGTTCTTCCGAAAAAGTTGGAAAAAGAGGGTCATACAAATGTAGTCAAACATTTGGTAAAGCTGTACAAAAAGTTCAAGTTGCTTTACCGAAGAGCCCTTCTAAAAGAAAGGCCGTAGTAAAAGAAATTGTAAACAGGACGTTCAATTCTGAAGCTTGGGATTCGATCTATAAAGAAGCAAGAGCGCCTCGTCGCGACGAGTCGGCCGGTTGATGTAAATCGAAAATTTTACGTTACGTTAAATCTATTCGGAATGATGTCACTGGTAAACGAAAAAAAATTCCTATCCGCTACATGATGATGAACATCGTTGATGCTTTCTGCGAATTTCAGAATCAGCATCCTAATTTAAAAATTTCCAGAGCTTACTTTTTTAAGTTTAGACCCAAATTTGTTCTTCCTGCTAAACAAACCCCATTTAATGTATGTGTATGTAAAAAACATTCGAACTTCTCTTTTTGTGTTGAAGCTATACATTCTGTTTGTACTGAATTTCCTTCAAACTATAAACACTTAATGTCATTAGTCTGTTGTGATCAGCTTAACGAAAAATGCATGTTTGGTGCTTGCTCTGCTTGTAAAACAAAATTAGATGAGTTTTTACCCCTTAATTTTGATGTTAGCTCTGTGACAATAAGAAATAAATGGAAAGAAATTGAAGGCTTTTTGCAAGTTGCCGAAGAAAAAAAGGGGGTTGCCGCAGTTGTTAATGAACTCAACCAAAAAATAACATCTTTTAAAAAACATTGTTTTATCAAAAACCAACAGTCTAAGTACTTTGAATCTTGCAAAGAAGCTCAAAATCCTCTAGATGCTGTTGTGCAAATAGATTTTTCAGAAAACGCCTCGTTGACAAGTCAAAATGAAATCCAAAGTGCGCACTGGAAAAAGCTCCAAGTGACTATTTTTACTTGTGTCACCAGATGACACAAGTAAAAATAGATTTTACGTTATCCATATATATGGATAACGTAAAATCTGTTGCAATTCTCAGCGATGATTTAAATCATTCTAAATACAGTGTTTGGATATTTATAAAAAAAATTGGGTCCTTTGTTAAAAACAAATTTCACTCCGTTTCGCGTCTTCGATTTTTTTCAGACAACGCCGCAACTCAGTTTCGGAACAAATTTACAATTTCAAATTTGTGTTATCTTGATGAAGATTTAGGATTTTCTTTTATTGAATGGAATACTTTTGCTGCTTCACACGGAAAAGGCGCGGTTGATGGTGTTGGCGCGGCCGTAAAAAACGCATTCTGCTCGCGATTACTATTATGCAGCTTTAAAATACTGTCATAAAACTAATATTCTTGTGGCGTTGAGTGAGTTAATGTAATGTGCTTTACCTTAGTTACCTCTTCTAAAAATTTTATTAAATTGGGCGCCACTTAGTTTTCTATAAGCAAAACTAAGAAGGATATGCAACTTAGGACTGCTCGGTGGTCATTATAAGAACATATGACTTTCCGTAAAACTCTCTCTCTATATATGTTAAAAACCAGAATGGTCTGACCTGCGGAATCTTCTTCAGAACGTGTACTCTGCGGATGGTAATACTTGGAATGATATATATTTTCGTGATTCGTCAAAATTGTGGCCGGCTACGTGACAACACCCGATAGCCAAACTATCCACTGATGGAATCCATTAATTTTCATTAATATTCAATATTTTAAATGGCAGAACCTAGCTTTATACTTGCTAGCCGTCAGATCTAAAAGTTTCATACCGAGATTTAAAATTAATAATTCAAATTTTACAAAAAAAATAACATACCTTCAATGGTTGAATGGCAAGGTAAGCTTAATATGCTGATTATGCTACAATCAATAGTAATCGATAAAATATGGAAGCCACCAGACACGCTTCCGATACAAAATGGTCTCCTATTCTCTTTTTTTTAAATCGAATCCACTTTCGCACGAACATGTCATTTTCATATTTAAAAAAAATTACTAACCGAATTTAAGTTAACGCGCAGGCTAGCGCATTCACGTAGTATTACCACCCGGGTATCAGATCATCTGATAGTGACGTATAAAGGTCAGTGAACCCGCGAGTTACATTTGGTTGTAATTTCCCCAACATCAAAATGCACGGTAAGTTCAAGCATAAATCCTTAAATTAATATTAACAAAACACTATATTAGGCATTCGCAAGTAAGAATACAACTGCAAGGATTCAACTACAGTAATTTTACAGACTCACCTCAATAACCAAAACATTCAGATTATTTTGTTATTCTACATAGAAAAATAATAATAATAAAATTCGGGCTTACTTCATTCCACTCTTTTCGCAAAATAGACAAAAATCACATATTTGCATCAGAGATGTGTGATTCTTTGAGATGCGACAAGACATATATTATCACAACCAGAGATGACAAGGTGTTAAAAAGTGCCAACGCGTCTAAGAAAATGCGCAAATGAATCATGATTTCAATATCAGCAGTGTCTAACACCTTTTTAAAGACCGGGATTTAAAAACTTTACATTAATTTCTTTTGAATTTTAAAGTTAACTGAAGTTTTGATTTATTAGTCGTTTATATTGTTACAAATATGCTTTTTTGTATCCCGTAATTTTATAAATAAAAGAAGTCAAAACCTTGTTTATTTTTCTATTTATATAAAAAAAATAATGCTTTTTTATTGTCAAATTGATGTTTAAGATAAGTTCTAAAGACGGTATGCGATAAGCAAAATTCTGAATTTTAAATTTATATACATATTTATATCTAAATTGGTAATTGGTATTTTTGTTTTAGTTTAATGTTATTTAACTCTTCAATATTGACATTATTATAATAAACCTAATAAAAAATAAAAATATAAACAAAAAAGGAAAAATAGTAAGGAGAAAAAGTTGCAACATCATTAAAATTTGATAAATGATTTCTTGTAAAAAAATATCATACTTTAATATAAATATTTGAGATTTTTACTGATTTAAATTTACTTTTTTTATTTTTTAAGCATTTATTGGAAATATTTCATAGAACACAAAAAAATTAAAGGGCTATCGTATGTGTCCTCTCTGTTACCATTGACTGTCCTCTCCGTTATGTGTACTAATTTTTTTTCTTCCACCATAAAATTATTTTTGAACGAAATCTTAATATTTTTTCAAAGGTATAAAAATTCAAAAACAAATTTTAACCACATAACTTGCTGGCCCGAGCAGAATTTTATATTTGAAATTATAAATCAAGATTTTTCGAATTGTACGCGTCCTTTCCGTTACCATCTTTGATTTTGTCTAACTTAACCAGGAATTTTTTTTTTCAATAAAACATTTATGGTAAGTACTTCAACTTTGACTCTAAAAAAACCACTATGTATTAGAGGAATATTCTATTTCTTGCTATGAGATTAGTATCATTTAAATGACAACTTGTCCTCTCCGTTACTTTAGAATGGCCGAAAAGGCGATTGAAGTTCGGGCGGCATGCCCCTTTACTTAAAAAAAATGATAATCAGAAAAATAATTTTTTGGACGCTACCTCCCTTTCCATGGATTGCGTCCAATATTTTATTTCAGCGTTCATAGTTATCGGGTACCAGGTACACCTTCCTACTTTTTAAAATTCTTTTTTGTTTAAAAATTTGAGTCAGTTTTAAATTCAATACATTTATTCAATAACTGCGTTGTCAAATTCCAATGCAGCAAATTGTCTCACAGAGGCGGTTTGTAAGTGATTTTAAACTAAGGCAAGATTAACAAATAACTTTTTAAGAGTGTTTGCCTACTCGCATCCGGCGACTTTAAATCCCACCATTTCTTACAAAAACGTATTAAAGGGGCTCGTCTAACGCCGTGTTTCAAACTCGTCACAGTCAGATTACACTGTACTTGGCCGGTCCACGAGCAATAAAAATCTCGTCATATTACAGAAAAAATATTGCCCTTCTTTCTCTCACAAGGCTGTGTAAAAAGTGTTTTACATTATTTGGGCATTATGTTATCTAAAAATTACTGTGGCTAGGCTTTAGGCCGCAAGAAAGGGGTTGGCATGCCGCCTGCGGCCCGCGGGCCGCAGTTTGAGTATCGCTGTGCTAGACTATTAACAACTAGTTTTTCTTTTCCAGTAACTTATTCAACTATAACTTTATATATTTTAGAATAGAAATAGCCGTGTACCTTGTATTAAGCCTGAATTATAGATTGCCTTCCTTCCTTCCTCCCGTAGTCGTGCCCGTACGATTTGTGCGTCTTGTAAAAAGTCAATTTATAGATTTCCGTGTAAAATTCCCTAACCATGCGCGATGAGACCTAAAATGGTTGACATTTGTTTTTGTTTATATTCTGCGTTTTACCCATTGTGTATAAATATGAAAGATAAGCATTTATACAATAGTGCAGTGATCACAATTTTAATTGCCCAGGCAGCTTGTTGTTTTACCCATTGTGTGTAAATATGAAAGATAAACATTTATACATTAGTGCAGTGATCACAATTTTAATTGCCCAGGAAGCTTGTTGTATTATAATAATGAAAAAAAAACATCGAACAAGACGTTGGAAGACTCGCCCACTTTACCAAGACCGGGAAACTACGGGGTTTTACAAAGCAACGTTTCTTTAACAATGAAAGACATTGATCATAAACAATATCTAAATATCCTATTAAGAGGCACAAATTATTTAATAAACTGAACACCTATCTTAAATAATACTAAAAAATCATGTATTTTAAATATTTTTTCTACGACCACTATGTAAAAGTCACTTTTCATGATGGCATCGTTGCTTAGTAAATGAATCTTTTCATTGGCAAGGCAAAACACGAATGTAAAGTGACATTTCTGTGTGAAAAGTGACAGGTCTGTGTGAAAAGAACCGAAAAGCATCGTTTGACATTCAGCTGTCAAAAAAGTTTTTAGGTTATTTTGTTTTGTATTTAAAAATAATAAAAAATAAAAGGGTCGCAGAAAAAACATTGTGTTATACTTGTGAGAAAAGCTTTCTTCAAGCTCGTGTTAATGCACACTCGGCCTAACGGCCTCGTGGGCAACTTAAAGACTCGCATGAAAAAGTCGCTTTTCAACACTTGTAAAACAAATAACTATTGTGCCTACGCGCTGTCACCCTGTCCATATCAAGCACTGTGAGTGGCCATGTCAAAGACCTTTACGGTGAAAGATAAAGCTTAAAAATTTCTACGGAACTAAGGAATGCCGTCCTTACGGTACGGGAATCTTTAAATGGCACTACGATTTAAATAAACATTTTTGACGTAATTGTCACCATTAACATTGCCCGTTATTAATTTTAATTAAACTTAACAATTATTGATACTTTAATATATTAAAATAACTTCAAAATATGATTTTGTTAAGAAAATATTTCATTTGATTTTTTTTATTACTATAATTGCAAAATATTATCACAAAGTATTAAAAATTCTTACACGGGAAATGTTAATGGTGACAATTACGTCAAAAATTTCGTAATGTTCATCTTCTACGGGAGAAAGGAAGGAAAGCAATCTATAATTCTGGCTTTAGCCAGTTCATGTTATTGTTTAGAGATAAGTATAGTGTAACGTTTTTAACTGTTCGTAGTGTGAATTAAAACACGCACTGGTTAATTAACGAACTAAACTATTTATTTAATAACTTAACTACACTTAAAACACTATAAAACTAACTAAACACTTAACTACTAATTATTTATATATCACTATTGTTCAAGAATCTATTTATTTGCACTTATATTTATTTATTTCGCCGCGAGTACCAAATCATAACTGACTGCTCTGTGTTGCTCCGTTTCTTATATATCCAGCGCCCAAGTATTCTGGAACATTCCAGCGAGCTCCACACTCTCGATTATTCGAGCGCTGAGTCACCGGCGATGACTCACCGGCAATGACTAATCGGCGATGAGTCATCACTCCGATATCCAGGGCGGTACTCGCTACAATAGTTTTTACCATTGTTACCAATACCGTATTGGCGATCCGAGATGTACCGACTAATATTATTAGTGAACTAATAACACAAACTTTGAAAATAGGCCATATAGAACCTATATGGCCAAAAAAATATTGTCCACTTAAAATAAATATACTTACCTAAATTATAGGTAAATATACCTATATGTGAAGTATGTGACAATATTTTTTTATAAAAATTATTTTTAACAAATTAAATATTGTTGGCAAAAAACAAACTAGTATTCGAAATTGGGAAACCATAAAACCATAAATTGCAAAAATATATTATTTATCAATCACATTATACATTATGTGTAATTTATTATTTGTAATATAATTTTTTGTATATATCCTTAAGGGATGATTTTAATTATTGGTTACTGCCCAGTGGGCTTAATCATGGGCAGTGCCCACATAACAAGATAATACAGGCGATAGCGTGCCGTGGGTATAAGGGCGGACATTAAGACATTTTTTTTTAAATAAAAATGTAGGGTTTTAAAATTAGGCACAATAATTGTAAACAAACCCTGGCAATATATATTGTTATACTCTCTACTTTTTGTGAATATTGATAAACATAATAAATTCCCTGCCTAACAACTACGGTTGCCAGACTTCCCGATTTTTTGAAGAATGCGTCCCTCGTAGGTATTAAAATTTCCCGATTTCGATTTTTTCTTATATTAATGTTAATGTTGCTCCGGCCAAAGATAATACCCCCATAGATTGGAGCTACAATACCTAAACTATATCTATTTGTAAATTGCAGACATCTGTATAAACGCTATTTGCAAATGTTAATG